TCGTCCAGTTTCCGCTGCATCGCGCCGCCCATTACCGCCGAGGCGGTGACCGAGTCCTCGCACAGGCGTTTCAGCGCCTCCACCGCGCGGTCCCCAGCGGCGCTCGCGTCCTCCTCGTCCCCAACGGCGAGCACGCTGCCGTCCAGCGCACGCTGCAGGGTGTCCGCGGCCCGCGTCAGCTCGCTCAGCTTCGACTCCAGCGCCCGTCCGCGCGCTGCACTCTCGTCCAGTCTGTCGTGCAGTTCCTCTTCACGTGCTCTCGCCTCCTCGGCCGCTCTCATGATGGCCGCTGCCGCTGGCTCTTCACTCTCCTCCACGCCAAGGGCAGCCAGCGCAGACTCGATACCGTGCAGGCACTGCGCGCGCGTCGAAGGGTCCTCGCGGTCCGCACAGCGGTCACCCGCATCGTCGTCGCCCACGAGCGCGCGGTAGCGCTGCTCGCTCCTGCGCAGCGCCTCCATGTCGCTCGCCATCTGCCGGCACTGCTGCAGCAGAGGCTCGGCCTCGGCGTCGTCCAGTTTCCGCTGCATCGCGCCGCCCATTACCGCCGAGGCGGTGACCGAGTCCTCGCACAGGCGTTTCAGCGCCTCCACCGCGCGGTCCCCAGCGGCGCTCGCGTCCTCCTCGTCCCCAACGGCGAGCACGCTGCCGTCCAGCGCACGCTGCAGGGTGTCCGCGGCCCGCGTCAGCTCGCTCAGCTTCGACTCCAGCGCCCGTCCGCGCGCTGCGCTCTCGTCCAGTCTGTCGTGCAGTTCCTCTTCACGTGCTCTCGCCTCCTCGGCCGCTCTCATGATGGCCGCTGCCGCTGGCTCTTCACTCTCCTCCACGCCAAGGGCAGCCAGCGCAGACTCGATACCGTGCAGGCACTGCGCGCGCGTCGATTTATGATCCTTTTGTAGGGATTTTGTGTTGACTTCTTCTTCTCCTAAGATGGATTTGCATAGTTTTAACTCTTCTAAGATTTCGCGTATTTTTTTGGTTATTACGTGGGGTGAGCATTCTATGAGTTCTGCAATTGTAGTCTCTGTGATGACAGACCATGCTTTTATTTGTATCGGATGCTGTTGGTAGTAGTCGTGTGTATGTTCTATGCGTTCGTCAAGTTCTTCTTGTTGCACTATGAGTTGCGTTGCCATTGCATCGGCTAACTGGGCGGTTTGTTGGAGTAGGTGTTTTGTATGTTGAAGCTCTTTTTGTACTCCGTAAAGTGATGGTATTTGGTTAAGAAGTTCCTCTGTTGACAAGTGCATGTGTTTTTCGTTGTCTAATAATTGCCGTAATGCATTCTGAAGTTGTTGAATCACCTGCTGTTGATGGATAATACCTTGCACAATATCACTTGGTTCTCCAGCAATTTTTCTAATGGTATGGAGTTGTTTATGGCTACTAATTAATTGTAAGATGCATTCTTCCACATTTTCATTTGTGGTTTCAAGAATTGTGTGTATGTTTTGCAACTTTGCTTGATTGTCTTTAAGAGTCCGTAAGCAATTGCTCACTTCCGTGAAATCGGCGTTACCTTTCACGTTGCTCGGACATGTAACACCCGTATAATGCTCTATAATTTGTTCTAGTTGAACATGGTTGTCGTAAAGTGCCTGAAGAGAAGTGCATAGATCCGTCCTTTCATCGCTTTCTGCACCAATTGCCTGGCTACCAAAGACACGTGCGGCGGTTTGAAGAAGTGCTAGGTGGTTCTGCATTGCCCATATAACAAGTTCTAGGATGCAATTTGTATCACGTCCTGCACAAAGAGGCACAACACTCTTTAGTGCCCAAAAAAAGAACCGCTGAAGGCGTGTGGCGACGATGCTCCCTGGCAATTCTTCGCCATCGCATACAAGTTGTGTCGCCCATCGTCTAATGGAGTCATCCGTGTCTTCGGTATTTTTTTCTGGGACAAAATCCGGTGTTTCCTTTGCATCGCCATAGAGTGCCTGTCGCGGTGATACCAACGTTGCCTTCTCATCCGGTAACACAATCGCCGTTCTTGTCATCGAACTTTGTAGTGCGGTTAATTTTGTCTGCAATACTGAGAGATCATTCACCCATCCGTCCTTTGCCCGAGAAAAGTTTTGTTCTAACATGCCAATTTCCATGTCACGTTCACGTCTCACATACTCAAGTTCTTCCATAATTTTTTCTAAAGTTTCTTGTTTGGTTTTTGCAGCTCGTCGCTCCTCCTCCAATGCCTTGACGACCTCAAAGTGTTCCGATGTTATGGCAATTTTGTCTCCACCCACATTGCTTCCGCGCATTGCAGAAAGAATATGATCTCGAATCGATGCGTATTCCTCGTAGCATACCTGAAAGAGTCCTACTGCGGTCTCTGTGAAACAAAGCAGTGCCTCTTTCGCTACACGCTCTATAGTTTTACCTTGACGCACGTGGTGTATTGCAGCCTGTGGGGTAGAGGAGCTATCATCTAAAGCACGACGTGCAGCGCGAAGTTCGGCTAACATGTCTTCTGCATCTTCTTTCTGTGAAACATTTTCCTCCTCTTGACGTAACGTCTCGTACACATGTCGAATTTTATCGGGCAACGTCATGTCATTACTATCATCAACCTCCCTTATCACGCTCTTTTCTATAGGACCCCTCGTGGACTCATAATGACTTACAATCGCCAAACATGTCTTTTCCAAGCCATCTACATGACATGCATTCGTCACCTTCTGTGGAACAGGTAGAACTGTAGATGGTAACTTTGACTTTGCCAAAATATCTTCGATGTGTTGTACACGTCGTCTTTGCTGTTCTTCTACTCGGTGATTGTCTCCATCATATACGCGAGGGCTACTATTGGGAACATGTCTCTCGTAAACATCGTTCCACAACTCAACTAAAAGTGCTGATTCCTTTCCGCTGTGTGAAATGTCTGAACCAACTGGGTCTCTTTCTACATGCTTCTTCAATTTGCCAAGCAGTGCATCTACACGTGTTTTCCACGTGTTTGTATCCACGTGATCCACACCAAAAGACCCGCTCGTTCCGCTGCTTGTTGGAGACTCTACCGCCTGTGATGTCTCTTTAAGAAGCTGGAGCGCCCTGTGCCTCCACAGCCGCAAGGCATTCATCAATTCCGCCACCCTATCCTTCTCTTCTTCCGTTGTCGTCTCGTCGTGATCATACTCTGCAGCGGCGGTGGCCTTTTTCCGTGACCGCCCCTGCAGAAGCTCGGCAGTCGGAGACTCCCTTGTGCACTTGTAGGACTCAACAAACTGCTGCCAAATCTGAAAGTCTTGTGCATTTTCGGTGCACAACACAACACGCTCGCGCTTCGCCAAATTTTCACTTTCTTCCACAGTGTAGTCACGAATAAACTCCAACACCATGTAGTAATACTGCTGCGTCTGAGGCGCAGCCACACCGCGTCCCCTGCGCGGGGGAGGGTGAGGAAGTGACACGCCGTAGGGCCCACCGGACACCGGCGGTTTCGGGTTGTGCGTGAACCACGCCACCCGTTTCATGGATCGAAACGCCACTTCCTTTATCAAACGTGACTGCGAGCTACGTGTTGAGTACACGTAGAAGCGATCTTCTTCAATGCAGACGTAATTTTTGGAGCCCCGCCCCGCGCCAACCTTATAGGGCTTCTCGCTATCCGCGCACATCCATAATTCCCCCTTAATAGCCAACAATTCATCCTCCGCCGATTCGTACATTTCTTTTTATTTTGTTGTTGTTTTCCCCAGTCTTTTCTTCGTTTTTTGTCGCCTTTTTTTTTTGTTTTTGTTTTTCTTCTTTCTGCACAGTCACTGCCGCCGCCGCTCTTTTTCCTTTCTTTTCTTTCTTTGTTTGCTTTTCCACACCGAGATAAAAAGCAATTTAAAATACTCTTGCAAATAAAAACTTGAACCGACAAATTGACGGAGGTCCCAAAAGACAAGCCGATTTAAAAAAAAAAAAAAAAAAAAAATTACCTTTTCTTTTCTTTTCCTTTTGAATCGGCTGCGCGTTACGTGAGTGGATGGGTAGAAGAAACGTATTCCCCCCCGCCCCTCCCTTTTGTTTGTGTGTGTATGTGTATATGTAGATGTGTGTATGGGAACTGATATATATATATATATATGTGTGTGTGTGTGTGTAAATGTGTCAGGGGATTCAATGTGGATGAGTGAAGAAGTAAGTAAGCCAATGTGTGTGCGTGCGTATGCGCCGTATTCTTACTGTTTGTGTATGAGAGTTGCTGCGACGGTAAACAATAAATAAATAAATAAATAACTAATAAATAATATTATTTTTTTTTTTTTTCCTTCTTCCCTTTTCCTTGTCGTTCGTTTCTCCTCCAATTCACCGTGACGATGCGTACTGTTATGTATGGATGTAGCAGCGTGTCTTCTTTTGTTTGTTGAGCCCTCCTCTTTTTTTCCCTCTTTCTCCTACGGACGTAAACCGTCTTTTTTTTTTTCTTTTTTTTTTCAGTTGTCGCCCTTTTTGATGTCTTCTTTTTTTCTTTTTTTTTTTTCTTCTCGTATTTTTTTGTGTTCCGTTTTTTTTTTTTTTTTGTTTTTTTTTCTGTCGCGTTCTTTTATTTTTGCGCAGCGGCCAAAAGACATGAGAGAAGGAAAAACAAAAGAGAAAAGGAAAGAGAGAGAGAAAAGAAAAGAGAAGGGCGCGAAGAATATCGTCAGAAATCACCACCAAAATAAAAAAAAGAAAGAAAAAAAAAAGAGGAACAAAAACACTTCACTTCTCCTTCTTTCCTTCCCTCCCCCCGCTGCTGCTGCTGCGGTACGTTTGCAACAACAAATGGCATGCATACAGCGGAAAGTTAAACACCATCAAATTTTCGTTTCTTTTTTTCTTTTCTCTTCTTTTTTTTTTTTTTTTTTTTTTGGTTTATTTCGTTTTATTTTTTTGTTTTCAGTTTCTTTTTTTTATATAAATAAATAAATAAATATTTCTTTTTTCTTTTTTTTTTTTTCCACGTCCCTTCGTTGTTTTGGCCCAAAAAGCCACTCACAAGAGGTAGAAAAGGAGACACGCCTGAAAATTGTTTATATTTCATCCCCTGACATTTTCTCCTCGTGTTCGCCTCCTCGCGGCTCCTTCATTGACGGCTCCGGCCGTGGCGAAGGGTGTGATGCATCCGCCTCCGTGCTAACGGCCCCCGCAGTGTCACGTGGGGGTGTCACCTGCAAAACATCCGCGGTGGATATCCCTTCGTCCTGCTTCAATTCATCCGTTCCCGTAGGCGTAGCGCTGCAATGAGCGCACACGCCCATCGTCTTTTCTCCTGTTACGGGTATCGTGACGGGATCGACGTGGCAACTCACACGTTTAGTAGAGTCGCATTTCACCGTCGTCGCGGCGGCGACGGCCACATCCGCCCCAGATGTCACCGAGGAGGCAGGCGATGATGATGATGATGAGGATGATCGCTGGGTGTTCTCACCCCATTCCCCTTCCTCGTCCTTTTCACTACAAAATTCCGCAGAAGACGCAGATTGCAACGAGTCAAGACTACTCTCCCCATCGGCGGGTGAACTCGTTTCGCTGTAGCTGCTGTACAGTGTCGAGGAGGCATCACTGTCAAAGTCGCGAGATGAACCATCATCATCATCGTCGTCGTCGTACCCAGCGGCTTGGGGTCCACGCAGCATTGGGTCCGTTGGAACCTCCGACCACGGCGGCAGCTTGCGGTAACCGAAGAGGGAGTTGCCGAAAAGGTGCGACATGGTGCCAAGCTGATAGTGCGTGCGCTCAACGTACGGGTCATTCGACTGCGGCAACGGCTTCTCACTCAGCAAGACGTGCTTCAGCGCCGCAAATGTGTCACTCTGACGATTCACAGCGCATTGAATTAAACGACCGCAGTCCCGCACCTCGTAATCCTCATCAAACCGGGCAAGCTCCAATACATAAAAGAAAAGTTTGCAAAAGCGATCGGCCATCGAACTGCTGCCGTCTAGAAAAAGCCAAATCTTACAGCCAAGCATTAGGACCTGCTTCTTCACATCTAAACCCTCCTGTGAAAACCTCTTCGCAAACACTCGAAAGCACTCCGGTGCCGCGGTAGCAATGGCCACATGACGCTGAATGTTCTCCCCCACAAGCCAAAGAATACTGGCCCTTGCAGATTCCACCGTAATCTCGTCCTTCACCACCTGCTGCAGCAACCGATACACCAACTGACTTGTGCGGGTCTTGTCACCTCCCTGAATGACAAGCAGACGTAAAACCGAGATGCACTCTGACACCACCTCTGCATTATGGTGAGAAATCAGAGGAACCAACAACCGCATCACTTGTGGGGCGCATTTCGGCAACCGTCCCGCAATTAGTCCAAGCCCTCGTACCGCATCAACAACGTTGTCCAGATGGAAACTGCGAACATACACGCGGAACTCCCGAAAAAGTTCCATGAAATTATCTTTGGTAGCCAGTTTGGAAATGATGCGCAGTTTAAGCTCCCGCACATCACTCACGTCGTGCGGAAGAAGATAAAACTCCTTAATGTACGGAACAAATGGCTCTGGACGTGACAGCACAACAGTATATATGGCACTAAGAACAATGGCATGTTGCTCTTCAGGGCCCCCAAGTAAACGCAGCAGCGGTCGAACACACACATCCAATTCAACACTAGGGGCGCAATGATAAAACAATGAGGTGGCCGCCACTACAACAGCGCTGTTAAGACTCATAAAAAGTGGCTTTACAGAATCAATAAGAAGGCGATGATCGGCGTCCAAAAGAAAATCGATACTTTTTTGAGAGCCGTGGCCGTTTCCCCGGGAAATCGCATCGGACGAAGACTCCGTACAAGACGTTAAGGACAAGGAGGAAGAAGATGAAGAAGAAGAGGATGTTGTTGAGGACTTCTTCGTATCAGCCGTGTGTTTTTTGAGGCTATCCTTCTCCTTTTCTTTGCGTGTATGCTTCGTTAAACACGGCTTGGAAGAAATGTTAGGGTCCATAAACTGTGTTCGTGCATAACGCAGAAGCACATGAAGAAGCACCACCTGTCCCCACTCGTCACAGTCCAAAAGTGAGCGGCAGAGATCACGATAAACGGCATGAATAAGGCCCATCTCATCCGGGCATATCTCAATAAAAGAGAGCGCAGCTGCCGATGTAACTTCTGGAGACTTGTCGGCCAAAAGTTGCCCCAGAAGTTTATGCACCGTCTCACTATCTTCATCATTGGTACTAATGGCGTGCATTTGAGCAAGAGAAATAGCAGCCGTCTTTCGCACTAATGGCTCCGAGTCCGAGGCGGACTTCGTTACCGCAAGCAACACCAGTGGCTGGATGGCAGGAATACGTATTGTGCTAAGCATCCGCAGAGCGAGGGAGCGTACATGCATGCTTGGGTCCATCAAATCCTTTTGAAAGGCAGAGATGGAGAGAAGTGCCTCATTGGGGCGGTCCTCTGCATAGTGTGTGATGTATAAATAAATAAGCTTCCGTAATTCAATCGACGAGGTGTGGATGTTCTTCACTACATCGGCAAAAAGATTAGACATGTCATTCCCTTTGCACATCTGCGCAATGATACGTTTCATCGCGCTTCGCTTCTCTTGAAGTGAGTCGGAATCGAGGTGATGACGCAGATCCTCCAACTTCGGCTGCACCGAGAAGAACTGTGCATCCCCTGAGATGAGTGAGCGGGCCCGTGACACAATGTTGCCACCACCACCCGTAATAAACTCCTTCGCCCGCTCAGACGCCAATGTAGCCTTCTCTGCAATTATCGCACGACTCATCGTCTCTTTCCTTTACAAGCACTCTTTTTTTTTTTTTTTTTGTGTGTGTATGTCTGTTTGTTTTCCTTTGTTTTACAATATTGGAGGTATATTTGGCAGGGGCATTCATAAACGACGCCACAACAACCACGCATAAATGAAGGAAAAAAAAAAGAAAAAAAAAAAGAAGAGAAGCAAAGATGGTAAAATATTCAACGTCATTCCTACCAAAAGAAGTATAAAAGAAAATATACTTTTGTGTTTTTTTCTTTCTCGTTTGTTTGACTCTCTCTCTCTCTCTCGATATATATATATTTATATCCCTCTGTTTTTGTCTCTTCATGACAGGAGAAAGTGAGATATGTGCTTATGTGTCTATGGATGGATTTTAGGAAATAACATCGGTAATTTCAATTGCCGGATTATCTTCCTTTTGTTTTTCCACAGCTTGTGGCAAGTGCAGCCTCTTTCCATTCTCCCCCATTGGCGTTTTTGGCACCGTTGCGGCGGCTTCTGTCCTTCTGGTCATTTCTTCGTCTCTTGAGCGCTTTGCGAAGAATGCATGCAGGCTAACGGGAGGTCGGTACTGGCAGCGGTGCCGCTCCTCCAGTTTGCCTGGCCGTGGGGCAAGCGATATGCCGTCAAAATGGGCACACACCCCGCTGTGGTCACTGTACTGCGGCGGAGTAACGAACAGACCCGTCGACGGCAGGCCACGGAACTGCACGTCTCTCGCCTCCGTGCTCAACGGCGGCAGGCCCGAGCCGTCAAACGGAGCTGCCGGGTACATTCCGTCTGCCATCGCGCGGCGCGCACCAACAAGCGCGGATCGACCATCAAACTCATCAAAAAAAGCGGATGACGCCTCCTTCTTTGCCGCAAACAACGAATTCGCATCACCCATCATGGGGGAGAGAACCCCGACGTTGTTTTCTGTCATACCACACGGAATCAAGGCCGGGAGAAGCATCTCATCAATCAAGATGTAGTCAATACGCGTCCCCTCGTTTCGCTGCCGCCTATTCCTGGATTGATCCCAGCATGTATACGGGCACACAACCCTCATCGACGCTTCGCCTCCCTCTTGTCGTTCCGCCTTATTCTCCGCCGAGGAAGACGTCACAAGAAGGGTGTCGCACAAGTGCAGTTCGTCAAGAAGCCTTTTCATAAACTGCACACCCACGTCTTCATGTGGGGGTAAACCACAGTACTGTGTCAGGGCAAAAAGCTCACGGTTGTGCGTCGATGGTTGACGACGCATAAAAGACTCCACAGGGACATCTTGAAGGCCAGCCTTACACAGTTCCTCCAACGTCGCTAGCGGGTCTGAACCACCATTCCGTCTACGCTGCTCTCGACGCTCTCGTATCAGCTGCTTAAGAAGAGTGAGACTTTTATGGGCTCCCGTATTTCCATTTTTACCGTCCTCCGTGTCGTTCCGCGTTTCATCCAAAACGGCACTGTCAACGCTGATACTTTTGTTAGAATCAACAACACCCTCATTGTCATCACCGGCAAGAAGCATAAAAGAGACCTGCTCCGTTATGATTCCCTGCAGCCGTTGCAAGGTAGGCATGGGAAGCCACGGAAACTGCTGCGCCCATGTTTTCTCTGCTTCTTCTCCCCCCGCTTGGCACACGTAGACAAGGTCGCGCAGCGCGGGTAAACTCAGTCGCCGCAAAGACCAGCACGCGTCCTCCGCTCGATATGTCTGATTCAAATCCCCCAGCAAAATGACGGGTTTACCCGTTTGCTTCTTCAGCTGAGTTAAAAGATTTTTTAGGCTGGACAAAAAACGCATTTTAAACGCCATGCGTTGGCCATGACGGGCGTTCACGACGTACGTGTTCACCACCACAAAGGCACTATGGCAGGTGACAATCACACGGCCTTCATCATTCAAATCCTCTTCACTAAACGGACGGGAGTCACACCACCATGTGAGATCCTTCCGGACAAATGACACCACCCCATTGAATCCACGGTGTGCTTTACCACTGAAGGACCAAAACGACTCCCATCCATCGATGGCCAACGTCCTTCCGCCGTCACTTGCGCCCATACCGCAAGGATCCGCCTCTAATTTTGCCCACGACCCCTTCACTTCCTGTAGGCAAACAATTTCCGCTTGAGTCCGCTGCAGAAAAGATGCAATGCTTCCAAAGTCCTCTCGTATCATTCGGGACGTCGAGGACCACCCCGCCACATTCCAACTAATGATAAACATTGACCTCCGGAGAATGAAGAGTGTCCAGTGGGTTCAGTAATCCCTGTTTGTTTGTTTGATTTTGTCCTCCTCGTACCCCACCCCTCTCAAAACTCTCTCTATCTACCCCTTTTATTGTTTACTGCGTCCGTGTGTGTGTGTGTGTGTGTGTTGTGTGTAAGTTTTCAACCCAACGCACGCTCCCCGGCAGAAACAAACAAAAAAAAAAATCACAAAACGTGTGCAGAGGCGTGTCTCATGAATGGATGTCTACTCCCAGCCATTAGAGGGAGTAAGAGAGTCAACGCATGAAAGCAAAGGAAAAAAAAAAAACAACTCAAAATTCTTTAGCAACATAAAAATAAAATTGCTGTCGTTTTTTCAACTTCTTCTCATTTTTGTTTTCAGACGTCTGCGGGATGAAAACAACCGTCACGCCCCTTTTGAAGAAAAGAGAGACACACACACACACGCAGAGGTAAAGAAAAAAAGGGGAATAAAAACTACGATGGAAAAAAATCAAAAAAATAAAATACAAAAATAACTCATCAAAATTGCCTCTTCCACCCACTTCGCATTCGATCAAATACACTGGGTGTACCGCGGAGCCCTTTACTGGACTCCAGCAGCACCGTGTATTCCTTCGTGATGCTCAGCAGCTGGGACCGGCTCGATGCGGGAAGGGACTTTAAAGAGACAAGAAGCCGAATGCTGGGGATGAGGTACTTGTTCACAAGCTGTGGTGTCACAACGGCGCATCGGGGTATCGCTGCCAAGACGGCAAGCACCGATTCTAACGCGTCCTCGATCAGCTTATGCTCTTCCGTAGGGGGCGGTTGACTGCCTCTTCTTCCCAATGCCGTTACTGTTGCCGCTTTTCCCTCCATCCGACGTATTGTGTCTGTCAGTTGACCAATCATGGTGACCAGCTGGGGATACAGGAATGACTCGCGTGGCTCCGCCGGCATCGCGTGCATGAGTGAACACCAGTGCCGCAGGAATGCCACGCCCAATCGTGACGCACATCCCTCCGTCTCGACCGTCGTGAACACCGCAGTCATCACCTTCTCGTGCGCAGCAGGGGTGCTAAGGCACTTGACCATTGATAGCGCCGCCTTCACAGCCGCCTCCTTCACCGCATAGACGGTGTCACTCATGAGAAGCAATAAAGGGGGCCAAATACTCGTTTCCCGCGCCCGATCGTCCTTCGGTAAACCGCTCATACGCTCCACGAGGGCAATGGCCAGCATCCGTTGCCTCTCCTCATGTGACTTGGCAAAAGACCACAGCACGGAAGAAACCACCGCCGCATTGCCGCCTTCGTCATCCACATGCGTTGCAAACCAAAGGAGGCAATTCGCACAGGCATCGAGTCTCGCACTCGCCTCGGATCGCTTCGCCCCATCACATTTTGCCTCCTCTGCATGTATAAATTCACCCGCCTCTCCCTTTTTGCCCCACATCTGTTCATGCGCTTCGTGCAGTCCATCCTCCATCGCCTCCAACAACAACAACTCGCGCAACCATGTGGAGGCGTCCTTCATGATGCTGCTGAACTCGGCCTGTGGACTTTTCTCAGCGGTCTCCTTCCCGCCAGAGACCGACGTCAAAAAGGCAAAAAGAAAGCACAACTGCCGTTCACGCCACCCGGCGCTACGCCTAACATCACTATCACTACGGTCACGAATGCTCCTCTCTGCGATAAACATCTCAAGTGAATTTCGCACCCGCACCCATTGATCCATACGAAGGGCAGTAACCAACAACGCTAATGCCGATGCCACGGCGCAAATGGAGGCCTGCAGTGTGTCTTGTTCTTGGCTGACAAGCACCATGGCGTACGCGGAAGGCATTACCACGTGGAGATAGGCATTCAACACAAACGTCTCCACCCCACCATTTCCACCTGCAGTACCCTTCAGAGCATTTCTAATGGCATCTTCGATAAGTCTGGCCAATATTAATGTGTTCCTCGCCACAGTTTCTTCCACAACATCAACATTTTTTGACACCCTGGCATTACTGTCTTTTCTTATCGGTGTCTCATCACAATCCATCACGGCAGACTCCCTTTCAAGAAATGATAAGAATAATGGTAAAATACGCGTAAGCACCACAGGACATGGCGTACACGCTGGAAGTAGAAGATGGTTTCGCAAACTCTGAAGAGCAAACCGTCGCACTGTACCGCTGGAATCATACAAACCAAGACGTAAAATAAGTTCTGTATAACATAAAAGAGAATCAGTCGCAGTGTCATGACTCGTGTTTTTCTCCCCCATATCACTAGGACATATAGGCCAAAGTTCGGCAATTGACCGCACCACATGCCAACGCACTGTACGCGCCTCATCCTCACTCAGTGGTCGCAATAAACCTTGGCAAATAGACTTACGCAACGCATAATACCCAACCCCCAAGAGAGGGGCTAGACACATCACACAATCCAAAGCCAAAATGTGCTTCTCCGTTGACCTTGCATTTGCAAGATTATACAACTCTGGCACAATGTCGTACTCCAAGACAGATGATGGAACGTTTCGCAATGTCACTGCCCATGCTTCTGCAACCGCCGCCCGGTGCTCTCGATTCGGACGCGTGTAAAGTGTAAGAAGCTGAAGACGAGAAGCGGCTTTGTTTGCTTTTGTGCCATGTAGGGTTGCTGTAAGGCCAATGATAGGAATGAGGACATCCTTCCGCATGGGATCCACGGCACTCACAAGCGTCGGCAGTCCTTTTGAAAGTACCGCAATCGTCTGTTCTAACTTTTCCTCTAAATGCTGGAGTTGTAGGTGAAAAGCAGCCCCCACGCCAT